CACCAGGAAAAAACCAAACAAGATGCATCGGACACACACACACACACACACACACACACACACACATGCACACAGACAACCCCGTGACAATATGCGTTTTGTATTGCTGTTACACAGCACAAAACAGATAAAAACTGCTTTAAAAGTACCTGCTCAATTGAAAGTGTCAGTTTACAGCCACGATCACGTACAGCAGCGCCACTTTTCACCTCGTTCGATTTATAACCACACGCATCGCATACAGTACACATCAATATTACTGTTGCAAAAAATGGAATATCTGAAAAAACTACGCGTACAACTATGCAACAAAAGAAAAATTCATAAATCGGTCAAAAATCATTCCCCTCCCCCCCTCCACCCCTCTGCTCAAACATCTCTTTTAAATGAAATAGAGACATTGTAGTGGCCCGAATGACAATCGCATTCTGTCAACAGCACCTACTCATATTTAATCTCCAAAAACAAAAAAGTAGAAGAAATGAATAAAAAATTAATTAAAATACGTACCCGTTGGCTTCATGCACGTTTCCGTTGGTGCGCCACAGTTTGGGCAATCAGTGGTAAATCGTAAAACTTCATTTTTGGCATCCTCGTATGACTGGAACGCAACTGAAGGAACTTCCTAAAAATTTCACACCAATAACAGCTTATTCCTCACACATAAAAGTTTCAACAGTTTTACACATTTACATCAATTCACTTATTTTAGTGCGAGCAAAGCTGGCTTCTTCACATGTACTAGTTTCGACAGTCTTATGTCCCCCCTCCTCTCCCGCCCCTCCCCATCTCCCCTCTACCCCTCCCCCTCTCCCCCGTCCCCCACTTCCTTCACTCCTATCAAATTTCTGTGTTTATCAAATTCGTTTTTCGATTATAACAACATACTTCATTTTCAGCATCGTCCTCCACAAGACCGAGAAGTTTGTTATCAGCGAGATTTCTGCTGAATCGTACTATAACGCATTGCTCATCAACATGCAGCGGATTCGGATTTTGCACAAAACTATTACCCGATACATCTCTGATTCTCTGGAAATGTAATATTTATCGTTGCCACACTTAATACCAAACTAAAACCAATAATCATACAAATATAATAATTATCGTAGGCATATCTAATACCATGCAATTACTACTACTCAGTGTTTAACGGGAACAATGACTTGCTTAATAATAATGGACCAGAAGGATTGTACTCAGGCGTCATGCGTAAGGTGATATTTTACGGTGCAAACTGTCTTTCATCGTTTAGATTTGGTAGTAAGGGGATATTTTACGATGCAATCTGTGTTAACACGCCTTACAGACCACATATGAGGTCCAATGGTAACTACGATATGTTTAATCAAAGAAGATATGCTATGTGTTAAATGATAGATTTGTCTTTTATCTTAAAAAAAATGCGATGGAAAAAACCCCCAAGAAATATAACTTACCAATGTAAAAACATCCTGTAAATTTAATAAATTTTCAATTTTTTCAATAAATCGATCAATTTTTTCAGCATTTTCCGGATCAGTTTCACGTCTCTGCAACTGATCCTGATTAAGACCATTGATCACGCGTCGTAAAACACCTTCCACTGTTGTAATTTCTAAAAAATAAAATGCTTTAAAAAAACCTGTCTTACTGCAATTTACAATATAAAATCTGACATTTTAATGAAATCCACTGGCACTTTTTTCAACCCACTCAAAAAATAGTTATATATGCATTTTCGGGGCGAATTTTCACACCTTTACATGGAAAACCAAGCAAAAAAAGTAGTCAATTTTTCATCAAAATATGATTATAGAAGTTGGATGAATTTATCTAAAATCCAGGAAGTTTCTCGAAAATTCATTACCACCCGTTTGTGTTTTCGGTGGAACGA